GCGGGGGAGGGGCGCGGCCGGCGCCGCGGGTCAGAGGTCGCCGGGCCGTCGGCCGTCGTCATTGATAAGGCCTGGCGCAGGAGGGCAGCGGCAGGCCCGGGGTTCAGGCTGGGGTTGGGGGTGGCTCCTGGGGCTCCCCCAGCCGCAGCCCGAGCTTCAGGAGGATGCTGGGCCCCGGGAGCAAGGGGGCTTGGGAGGGGGCGCTCAGTGTCCCTCCCTGTGCTGGGCGCCCACCCTGGGCTCAGGCCAGCAGTAAGAGCTGGCGCTCGTTTGGTAATTCGCACCACACTCCTGTCCCGCAGGTACTGGTATCATCACTCCTGTTTTACAGATGAAGAATGTGGGGCTCAGTCAGGCTGAGGATACTCTCCATCCGCGCAAAGCAGAGGGAACTGCCTCCCCCACAAGCAGAGACGTAGCAAGATGCCCCTTCCTTCAGGATACCCTGTTAATACACACACAGCCTGAGGACGTCGGCTCCACCGCCGCACTACTGACATTTGCGGCCGGATCAGTCTTTGCTGGGGGGCTGTCTTGTGCATTGTAGGGTGTTGAGCAGCATCCGGTCCCTCTACCCACTCAACCCCTGTAGAACCTCCCTCTCGTCCACCAGGCACCAGTTGTGACAACTCAAACCATCTCAAGACATTGTTTAAGGTGCCCTGGGGGCAAAACTGCCCTCAGTAGAGAACCACTGAAGTAGACAAAGGCCCAAACAGGAGGTGCTGAGAGGGGCAGGGGACGGGATGAGCCAGTTCTCCCTGACTCGGAGGGGCTATCGGGGCTCGGCTCTGCAAGCTGATTCCCTGCTCTGCCTATAGACTTACAACCGGAACCCTTCCCAGCAGCTGTCCGAACCCACCTTCCTAGGCTCGCCAGTCTCAGGGAGGGAAGAGTGGGGCTCCTCTGTAAATTATGGGGAAATGGGTCACCAGCCAAACCACTCCCCCTTGGGCTGTGGGGTTACAAAGGTGAAGTAAAATGTAATAAGAGTGTTGCTGTCTGTCCTTGGAGCACAGATGTTAATTCCCTCCTGGGGGTCAAGGTCAAAGTCTGAAAAGTCATGGGTTATGCTCTATCTACAGAACAGCTGGGTTGCTTAGGTTTTGACAAAGAAAAACCCTGCCCGGAACCTCAGTCTGGAATACAACTATCCAACCAAGTAAGACTTGAGTAAGAAGCTGAGCATGGGGATGGGGCAGTCAACTCACTGGCTGGGGCAGGAGGCCCCCCACGTCAGGAGGAGAGGTAGACAAAGCTGTCTCAGCCCACCCAAGACAGAAGCAGAAACAATCAGCCTAGATCAAGTGCTTTTTATTTTTAGACCAACCAAACATATTTAATACAAAAACCCTTTAATGTACAAACTGCAACCACAACAACATCCACATAGCAGCAAGGGGGTGGGGCGCGGCAGGGAGCCTGGTGGGGGTGGGGGACTTCGGGGGCCCTGGTGCTTCCCCTGCCCGCAGTCACTCTGTGGCCTGTGAGGTCTTAGCAGAGGGCAGAGCAAGGCCCCCAAAGGGGCCCTGATGCCGACACTGAGACAGACCAGCAGAGTAGGCCCCTCCAACATGCCATCTCCCCACAGTGGCAGCCTCCAGGGAAAGCCAGATCCAGTTAGGAGGTAACAGGAAGGTAGCTGTCACTGAGAAAATCAGCCATCATTCCTCAGCATCTTGCTGATCACACTTGTGCGAACAGAGTTTTCCAGGGGCTGTTGGATTGACAAGACCTAAAAATTGTTCCAGGGGGACAGAAACTGTGTCCGAGTCTACCTTCAAACCACGATTCCTTGCCCGTGACTCCAGAAAGCTGGGTGTATTCTGCTCGGATGTTTGGGAAGGGAGAGGAATGACAGAGCCTTTGGCCCAACAGGGCCAGAGCCTTGCCAGGCATTGACCCAGGAAGCCTCAAAGCAGGCCAGGGAGGCCTGTGGGAAGAGCTCTGGGTCAATGGTACTCCCGGGCGCATGGGGGCACAATGACCCGCAGGTGGAACTGACAGTGCCTGTGGAAGAGGGAAGGGACAGTCAGAAAGAACTAAGAACTGAAGCACCTGCTTCTGCAGGCCTGGGCAGGAGAGGTGAGATGATCCTTCTGGGCCAGGGCTGGGAGACGTGAGGCCTGTTCCTTCCTCGGGGCCAGGTTTAACCGGCCTGGATGTAGCTGACGGCCCCCAAGTCCTCCACATGGCCCCCAGGGGACTCTCTGGGAGGCCCCGCTGCCCCTTCCAGATGTGCCAGGAGACTGGCCTAGATCCCCAGTTAGATGCAGTCCATGGAGTTCTCGGGGAGGAGGCCGGGGATGCAGCCAGGGAGACCCAAGCCCTTGACAGGAGTGCAGCTGAGGGGGAGGCCGCAGCCCAGGGTGGGGTCCTCCAGCCTGTCCGTGTTGTCCCAGTTGATGTGGAAGCGGGTCACCCGGGGGTTTGAGGCCAAGATGTTCCGCTGGAGCTGGGCGGAAAAAGGAACGTCAACCCTGGTCAGCATGCCCTCTCATCACTCCTGCGGAGCCAGGGCACCCCTGCCCCGCCCCCCCAGGACAAGCAGAGCTGGCTTATCCCACCACCACCACAGCTGTGTGTGCCACTCCCGGGGATGCCCACCCCACAGTCTAGGGCCACCTATCTAATCTTGATTCTGCAAGGCGTGCTTCTGAGAAACCAAGACCTTTCTCTCTCCCGTTCTAGCCTGGCGCTGCAAGATCTGAGCACTACTTGAAAGCCTTAAGAAGTGACCTTGGCTCCAAGTTTCACTGACTCAACCCCCCGCAGTGCAAAGGTGGTGCGGTGCAGAGCCAGTCCCACCTGAGAAAAGTCCGGCTTCGGGGGCGGGTTCTCCCGCAGCTCGGGGTTGGGGTACTCGTTGTTGACGTAGTAGCCCACGCGGATGAACTCCTGGCCGTGGTAGGTGCAGGTGATGAGGACCACAGTCACCCCCACGGCGTCGGTCTCAGGGATGAGGGATGGGTTGGGGGCGTCGGCCTAGGGGAAACACATCCTGGGTCTTAGCATCCATCGCCACAGTCACACCTCCTCAGCAATACAATGCTTCTCAAGCAACACATGTCCACTGAGCCCAAAGCATGGTCTCTGCCTTTGGGAGTTTTCCATCGAGTGGGGAAGACAGAATCAATTGTGTAAATGCCTGTGAAATGCTGAACGTGATGGGTGCCACACAGAAGTAAATGGGGCTGGGGAGGAGTGTAGTGAGCAAGGTGTAGTGAGGAGTGTAGTGAGTGTAGTGGGGAGGGTGGTATACGATGAGGCTGAACAGGTGGGCAGGTGGCACCAGGCCACCCAGGGCCTGGTGGGCCAGTTAAGGGCTGGGAGAGAAAAAGCAAGAACATTCAGCAAGAGGTGAGTGCTGCATCACTCAGACCGCGGCGGCCTGCGGAGCTGAGATGGGAGCAAGGGGGGACTGTGGCCTGGACCGGGCAGCAGAGGAGACAGAGGTGGCCAGATTCCAGGGTGTCGTCACGGACAGGACCGGCTATGGAACTGGTGCAAAATGAGACCCATACAAAATGAAAACATGGGCCCTGTGTTCAAAAAGTAGTCCACTTCTGCCAGCGACAGCAGAACATGACCCCACGCATGGGCCCTGTGTGACCCCGTGGACCCCATGCCCGGGGAGCTGCCCTGGTGGGGGAGTGGAGTAGACGGGCTGGCTGGTGGATGGGATACAGGGGGTGAAGAGTCAGCTGTGAGGACAAGGTTGCTTAGATTGGGCTGGGAGCAGCAGAGATACAGTGAGGGGGTGGATTTGAGCGGAGGCTCTCAAACTTTAGTGCACGCTAAGTCTGCATTTCTGACAGCCCCTGCGATGCTGGATGAGAGCGTCTTTTAGCAGCTATGGCAGATCCTCATTATTCAGGGATTCCATATTGGTGGTAACATTACATATTATTCCATAATATATTCCGTATTATAAGTAATATTCCATATTACTTACTAAAATTTATTTGCAACCCCAAAATCAATACTCGGGGTGCTCTCACAGTCACTCGAGGACATGCACGGGCCGGGGGCGGGGTAGGGATCTGAGGGGCTTGATGTGCACGCTCCCAGCTGAGGCCCAACAAGGAGACGCCCTGCCCTCTTGTCTCAGCGCTCAGGCTGCAACTGAACCGTGTCCTTTTCATGGTCTAGTCAGTGTGTTTCTTGCATTTTTGTGCTTTTTGTTGGTGATTTTGCTGTTTAAAATGCCCCCAAGCATACTGCTGAGTGCTGTCTAGTGTCCCTAAGCACAAGAAGGCTGTGATGTGCCCTATGGAGAAAGTACGTGTGTTAGATAAGCTTCGTTCAGGCATGACTTATATGCTGTTGGCTCTGAGTTCAATGTTAATGAATCAATACTACTACTAAATAAGGTGTCTTTAATGGAAACAGACCTAAAATAAGGTTATGTATTGACTGGCTGACAAAAATGTGACTTGCAGGAACCTAACCCTGGGTTTCCTCTAGGGGCGATGGTTCAGCATGCACGAATTCACTAATATGGTGTTTGCAGCGACTGTATAGAACGTAACTGCCGTGAATAATGAGAACTAGCTGTAAATCAGTGCCTCATGGTAACAGCTATGACACAGAGGTGGGGGACAGGGAGGCGCCTGGAGTACCTCTGAGACGTCAGCCGGTTCTTGAGAGCAGAACCAGGATTTGAACCTGAACTTCTGACCACTGAACCACGCTGTGTGCTTTTGGGTGGAAGAGGACGTTTCTAGGTGTCAATGCCTAAGGCCTCATCTTTCTTACCTGAAAGACGAACATGTGTCTTCCTGCTGGGACAGGGCCGACCAGCACTGAGTCTAGGATTTGATCAAACTCCTCACTCTCAGCTGAGCCGACATAAATGATCTTCCACTCCAGGTCTGCAAGGACACGGCGGGTTAGGAATTGAAATAGCTTGACAGCAAGAAAGCAGGGAAAGGGTCTTCTTGTGTTGGTTTTGGACAGATCCTTCATACGTCGCAAGATTCTTAGTCTCAAGAACACCTGACATCCACCAGGCACTCAGTGCCAGGCACCGGAGTCCTGAACACTGGGGCGGATGTGAAGCTCTTACTTCCAGCGGGAAAATTTCTCCTGTGGGCCTAGCTTTGCCAGGTGACCTTGACTCTGCACCTCTGGGGAAACTCAGGCCTCTCAGATCCCGAGGGTGAACCATATGGCAGAGGCTGAATTAAGACCCACGTGACCAAGGCGTGCTGAGGAGGGAACAGCGGGGCCTCGGGCCATCTCAGGGCCCTGCCCACTGGGTGCTGGGATAGGAAGCAGCATCCTCTTTCACACACAGGGACCAGTGCCACCGAACTGAGGAGATCCCTCAACAACTGGGCCACGGCAGCAGATTCCACTCCAGCAGGAGAGCCAGCCGGCAGGAGGAGAAAGACAAGGCCACTGGGGGAGGCAGCCAGTCCCCAGGTTTTCCAGATCCGGCACCAAGTAATGCCTATTCATGGACACTGGGGCAACGGCGACTCGTCAATGAAAGCAGCATCATAGGGCGATCCTCTGAACCCCAGCTTCCCTGCCAGTAGGGGGCTCCATCCTCAGTATGCTCTCGTGAGAGGAAAAGAAAAGTGCTTATGGAGACCCTGCCCGTCGACCACAGGAAATTTCCAGTGACCGCTGCCTCTTGCAGGAGGTCCAAGTGTATCAGGGGAAAGGTCATGCTAGTACAGGGAAGCTTGGCAGACCTGAAACTTATTTTAGGTTCCTTGAAATTACACAACCTACAGCTCCAGCAGCTGGGGGAAGTTTCACAAGCTGCGATTTTCACAGGAAGCAAAGTCTCTTGGAAGCTGCCCTGTTCCTTGGTGCAGTGTCCTGCAAGAGCATCCAACTCTGAAAGCACACCAGTGCCGGGCCCTGACTGTGGAGGTCTGTCACCTGAGCCCCAGTTCTTCCTCGATACACTGGCTTCCTGTCCCTTTGCGGCTTCACCCGGGCCTTCTACTCGGGAATCCTGCACGTCTGCGGGGCGCAGGCACCACCAGGCTTACCGGGGCTCCGTCAAACGGGTCTCTCATTTGCAGGGAGGAGTGAGTTCATCCATTTAGATTTGTTACAAGCAGTGACACAACTGGACATAACACATTTCTGGATGAAGAAGAAACAAGCTAGCTCTGCTCTCCCCTTTCTAACACGACTCTATATTTTGGTATTTTTCCTTTTGGCCTTCCTCCCCATCACCAGTGGGGTCACATACGTGTGCATTTAACTAATGTGCTGGGTGAGACAAAAAGGAGACTGAAACAGTGCAGGCCCGGTGCACACATGGGCACTCGACGTCCAACACTGCTGGCAAAACCTAAGACTGTGGGTGCAGGCGGCCAGGCAAAGGGGCTGCAATGGCCCCCGTGACACTGGCCAGGAAGAAACCCGAGCATTAACGGAGGACCACAGAGAAACACTGACTGGAGAGTTCGAGGAGCTGACAAAGTCACCTACAGAAGACAGAAGATGATTGAAATAAGGACCTTGGCTGGCCCCGTTGCTTAGCGGTTAAGTGCGCGCGCTCCACTGCTGGCGGCCTGGGTTCGGATCCCGGGCGTGCACTGACACACCGCTTCTCCAGCCATGCTGAGGCCGCATCCCACATACAGCAACTGGAAGGATGTGCAGCTATGACATACAGCTATCTACTGGGGCTTTGGGGACAAAAAAAAATAAAAAATTATTAAAAAAAAGAAGCATTGAAATAAGGACCTCCAAACTGGAATCATCTTCAACTTGCTGAAGTGTTTTAAGCAGAAGCAGTGGTCTGGCCAGGTGGCACAGCGGTTAAATGTGCACGCTTTGCTGCGGCAGCCCGGGGTTTGCAGGTTTGGATCCCAGGCATGCACCGACGCACCGCATGTCAGGCCATGCTGTGGTGGCGTCACGTATAAAGTAGAGGAACGTGGGCACTGACGTTAGCCCAGGGCCAGTCTTCCTCAGCAAAAAGAGGAGGATTGGCAACGGATGTTAGCTCAGGGCTGATCTTCCTCACAAAAAAAAAAAAAAAAAGAAAAAGCAGAAGCGTACTTTGACTCCATTCTTTAACACAACCCTTCTTGAGAATTAGAAATGGGGCATCAGTCACCAGTGCAGCACAAACTCATTCCTGTTGAACAGAAGGCACGACTGTACACATGGCACGTTGTGTACCTGACTTTCTGGGCAGTCTCAAGGGTCCCCCGACTACATTACCTAAGTCTACAATCCAACCACTGCACCAGACCTGCTCCACTGTGTATGAGAAGACAGCCCAAACGACCTGACTAAAGGCGTGCAGAAACCTCCTGCAATGGAACTTGCTGGAGAGGCTGTTCCCTGCCTTTCTTTTTTTTTTTTTAAAACTTACCTAGTAGACTTTTTTCTGTTTGTCACTTTGCCTTTGATCATGATCGTAGAGATGAACCTTGGCCCGAGCACAGCGTGTCAGCTGTGGGTCAGAGCATGTGGCTCCGTGACTTAGTCAAGCAGTAACTGTTGAATTCCCCAAGGAGACAGGGGAAAAGCTCACCTACTGTATCACATGTGGACCCACGCCCTGGATGCATCCATTTCCAGTTGTTGAGGAGAAAGAGAGGAGAAGGGGCGTGGAGCCCTTGGGAACTGCGTCAGCTGACTGAGGGGGGCTGGGCGCCTTGTCAGATTGTCAATTGCTAGCATCCTGATAAGGAGACTGATTGAGATGTCTCCAGGACCTGAGACTTCCATGGCCCAGGCCCCCTCCATCTGGGGGACAGGAAACGGATTCTCTCTGCTCTGTGGCCAGGAAGAGGCAGAACGCAAGTGGGCAGGTCAGAGGCATGGACAGCGCTACAGGTAGGACCGAAGAGTCCAGATTTCCAGGCCAGGGTTTGCTTTCCAACTTGAGTTTCTTTGAGCAAAAGCTTTATTGTTCGGCTGTAATTACTAATAGCACCCCCTGGGGCCGGCCTGGAGGTGGCATAGCGGTTAAGTTCGAGCACTCCGCTTCAGGGTTCGCCTGTTCAGATCCTGAGTGCGGACCTACTCACCGCTCATCAAGCCATGCTGAGGCGGCGTCCCACATAGAAGAGCTACAACTCTACAACTAGGATACACAACTATGTACTGAGGCTTTGGAGAGAAAAAAGAAAAAGAGGAAGATTGACAACAGATGTTAGCGCAGGACCAATCTTCCTCAAAAAAAAAAAAAAAGTAAAATAAATAATAGCATCCCCATCACTCTTGAGAGAGTCCTGATGCAGAAACAAATTCCACGGTCAGTTATATTCATGCTGCACTTCTAATATAGGGGATGCATTTTCTTTCCCAGGTTATAGCAAAGATCAAAGACCCTGGACCCAGAACTCAGAGACACACCCTCGTATCAATACTGCAACAGACTGCCTGTGTGACCTTGGAGAAGTCATCCCATCTCTCTCTCTCAAAAAATAACGACCAGCAGGCCGACTTTGGCCTTTCCTGCTGTGATTCTATACACAGATTGGTAAAGGAACAGGGCAGGGGCTTCCCAGGAACAAAAGTACTAGATAATAACCATGCAACCATTTTTTTTAAGATTTTATTTATTTATTCTTTCCCCCCAAAGCCCCAGTAGATAGTTGTGTGTCATAGCTGCACATCCTTCTAGTTGCTGTATGTGGGACGCGGCCTCAGCATGGCCGGAGAAGCAGTGCGTCGGTGCGAGCCCGGGATCCGAACCCGGGTCGCCAGCAGTGGAGCGCGCTCACTTAACCACCAAGCCACGGGGCCGGCCCACCATGCAACCATTTTTAAATGCAAGGAGCACAAGAGGCTGATTGAAACCCGATCTCCTGCCATCTGGGAACTGCCATTCCCTTAACCTATTAGCTCCTTACATCTCCTGGCTTTAAAATTAAACCTTATTCCACAGCGTCATTCTACACTTTATTTATTTATTTACACCCTGCCTTGTTCCAGAAAGGATTTAACTGGGCTTATTCTATAGTTGGTCACAAATAAACTCCTTTAAACAGGAGAAAAACCCGGGAGAGACTGACCACTTGGCCCAGCCCAAGCGCAAAATGCATCTCAAACTGAATCAACCCCAAGCTAATCCAAGTGGGCAGCTTTGCAGGCAAATCACCCACCTGCCATTGAGAAGCGCTAGTTAGCACACCCTGGCCTCGCTGGTCGCCCCCTCCTCAGCTGCTGCCTCTCCTCGTTTAACCACCAACTGGAAAAGTGGTCTAAGGGAGTACTTGCTCCCTGGGTGACCTCAGATTTTCAGATTTTGATAGACCTTTACTGGAAAGGTCTTTCACTCTGTGGCTCCCGTCTTCTCATCCGTGAGATGAGAAGCAAGCATTATGTCAAGCAGATGAATAAGTACATCTGTGAAACCACCTTTGAAAAGACGCACAAAAGGCTGTGGCCTTCCAGCTGACTGTTTGAAGCCAGACACCATCATGGCTCAGCCCTCGCCCCAGACTAGGTCAGACCATCAAAAGCATTGTAAGAATTGCAGCGGCAGTGAGGGGAACCTGGCGGGCAAACAGCAGGAACCAGCCAGTGCTTGGCAGGCTGTGGCACCCCTCAGATCTGAGTGAGTCCACGGAAACCCACAGTCAGAGAGGAGGGAGGAGCAGGAGCTGGGGAGACAGGCTACCCTCCAAGACTGGAGCTGGAAGCCGGGCCATGCCTCCCCAGCTGGGGCTCAAGAGGAGGGGTGGGGCCAGGCTAAGGGGGCGGGAAGCCAGGTTCCAGGGTGTGTGATTTTGGGGCAGGATACGAGCAGGAGGGTGGGGGCGCGGTTGTTTAGATATCAGCAGGTTGGGGAGGGGTTATTGGGAGACAGATGGGGAGATGGGGATGAGTGAGGTCTTGACATGCGAGAGAGGGGTCTCACGGGGGAAAAGGGGAGGGAGCTTGGGGGAGAGGTCTCCACAGGGAAAATGAGGGCGGGGGCTGGGGTCTGCAGAGAGAAAACAGGGGGCTGGGGTTTCCATAGGGAAAGTAAGAGAGGACTGGAGATTGGGGTCTCCATAGGAGACAAGTGAGGTGGGAGTGTCTCATCACAGCGGAGAGGCGATGGGTGGGGAAGACTGGGTGGCCGGAATGGGGGTTCGGCCATACAGGAACGGGGTGGGGGTGGGGGGATGAAGTCTGCACGAGGGGAAACGGGAGTAACGGCGGGGAGGGGGCGGGTTGGGGGGAATCCCCCGGGGAGGTTGGGGCTGGCGCAGGGGTGCGCGGGAGGTGGGGGTTGGCCGGGGGAGGGGGTCCCCACACAGGCCCAGCCTCACCGTCCGCCAGGGCCTCACTGCACTCGAAGCTGATCTCGAACCGGAAGGGGCTGTGGAAGGGGCTCGGGTTCTCCAGCACCGCCACGTTCAGCACCGACACCTTGGCCATCGCCTCGCCGGGCCGCGGCTGAGGCCTGGCTGGGGCCGAGCCCGCGTCCGGGTCCCGGCGGGTCGGCGGCGCGGCGTCTGAACAGAGCTCTCTCGCCGCCTCTCTCCGCCGACTGAAGTGCGTCTCCGTCCGCGCGCCTCCTTCAAACAGCCGGCCCCGCCCTCCGGCCAATCACCGTCAACGCTCCCCGGCAGCGCGAGCGCCCCCTCAGCCAATCCTGGGGCGCCAGTCGGCACGCGCCGAGACGCCGCGGGCCAATCCGCGGAGCTCCCTCCCCGGGGTGCGCGAGGGAGGCGGGACCGTCTCGCGGCTTCTGGGTGTCCGCCGGGAACCAATCCCCAGCGTCTCCGACTCGGGTATCAAGGGCGGGGATGGGCGCAGTCAGAGCACGGGGCTCCTCTCGGCCAATCCCGAGGGTTCTCGCACGAGCGTGGGCCGCGCTTCGCCCCGCCCTTCCGGGTGAGTCGTCCCGCGGGGAGCAGAGCCATCAACTGTCGAGCGGGGGCGCGCGGCACTCGCTTAAGAGGGCGGGAAGGGCGGTGCTCGCGCCCGTCGTGATTGGCAGGCGGCGGTGGGGCGGGGATAAACCCGGGTCTCTGAGAAGTGATTGGCTGAGCTGGCCGAGGGGGCGGGAGGAGCAGAACACTCGGCTGGGGATTGGAGGGAGAGGAGCGGAAGTCGGCCGCCGGCGCGGTTGAGCGGGTGTGAGGAGAGGAGGAGCGTTGGCGGCCTCCGCGGCTGTCCGCAGCTGAGCGTTCCGGGAGCTTCTCTGAGGGGCGCCTGGGTCGTGGATGTTTGCCTCAGCCTGAGGGGCGACGGCACGGCCGTGAGGCGGCGCGCTCGGGCCCGCGCCCAGGGAGTCGCCGGTGCGAGCCCCGCTCTCGCCCCTCGAGGGCCATTCGGAGGTCTGAGGTGGACCGCGCCGTGGACGGGGCTTCGAGTCCCGCCTCGGCTCCCGCGGCCGCGGGCACGCGGCCCGCCCTTGCGGGGCCGTGGAGACTCCCTGACAGGATACGTCTGGAAGCTTCTCCGCGCCCCCACGCCGGGGCCGGACCCTCGGCGTCCCCAGCCAGCAGCGGAAAAGTAACGCCTGATGTCACGTTGTGCTAGTAACCACGGTGGAAAAAAAAGTAAAAAAAGGTGAAATCAAAGTCAGTGTGTCGGCTCTGGCTCTCGTAGAACTGAGAGATGAAGATGTGGACGCGCGGCCGCGCTGTTCCCGCGAGCTCGGCCGCGCACTGGCGTTTAATTGAAACGTGGATGAAAATGCAGCGACGTGGAAGGTTCCAGATCACGGTGGCACTGGCCACGTCCGGTGCTCGTGAGCCGCTGTGGCAGGCGGCACCGTGTGACTGGACAGCAGGTCCCAGCCACCAGCATTTGTGGTCGGGCCACCCGTGTGGCTGCGGAGAGGCCTGAGGTCCCGTGATGCTGCGCGTGTTGTTTTGTATCAGCATCTCATGTTCAAACAAAAGTTTTGTGGTCAAAAAAATTGAAAGTTTTTTTTCCCCTTCGAAACGATTTGGCTGCAAGAAAATTCACGTTTCTGACTGGCTGTGATTTCTTGGCCGTCGTGCGGCATGCTTGGGAACTTTTGTGAGGAGAAAATTGAATTTTCGAATTGTTTCTCAGTGTAATTCGGTTGTTTATGAATGCTGGATTTAATGGTGATTGAAGTCGCCAGGACGTTAGGTTTTCTAGACATTCAGTTAAACACCTATGCATTCTGACTTTCTAGTTTTCTTCCTTTTTTTTGCTGAGGAGGTTAGCTGGCGGTGAGCTAACCTCTGTGCCCGTCCTCCTCTGTTTTGTGTGTGGGCGCCCCAGCATGGCCTGATGAGCAGTGTGTAGGTCCTCGCCTGGCCGAAGCTGTGGACCCCAGGCTGCGAAGCAGGGAGTGACCTTAACCCACGCCACCCGGCCGGCCCTGACTTTGTAGTTTTCTTTTTGCATTGTGGAAGTTTTTTCTTCTGTCCCTGGCCCCTGCCTTTTCATAGCCCTTGAGAAGCTCGTCAGCCGCCAGCGCTATGTGTGAGCTGCTGATGAAGAAAAGGGCCCGTCTGTAATGCCTTCTCCACATCGGCTGAATCATCTTCAGTCGCAGACCAGATCGCGTCATTACCCTGGTGAAACCTTCGAAGGCTTATCAGACTTGGAATGAAACCTGAGGTCTTGACTGTGGCTTCGGAGGCCCTGCACCGTGTCCTCAACTGACCCCTCGGGCCTCATCTGCTGGTCTCGCTCTTGTCACAGCTCTCCTGCGCTGCTGGCATTACTTCTCATCTTTCAACACACCGATCTCACTCCCACTGCAAGGCTTTGCAGTTGCTGTTCCCTGCGCCTGGAATGTGCTTCCTTCAGATTATTGCATGGCTGTCTCATTCTCGTCCTTTATGGTTCAACTTCAATGTCTCTCAAAGAAGCCTTCCCGGGCCACCCCGGGTAAAGTAGCCCCTCCTTAATCACATCACTCCGCTTTGTTATCTTAGTCACACGTATCAGGGTCTGCACTTGTGTGGGTTTTAAATTGTGCTTATTCTCTCATCATCCCTCGGGAGACTGAAAGCTGGTTGAGGGCAGAGAGCTCACCGGGCTCACATTGACCTCTCGATGTGTTTCCAGAGCTTAGCACAGGGCCTCACACATAAGAAGTCTTCAGGAGATTTTTAAATTTTATTTATTGATTTTTATTGAGGAAGACTGGCCCTGGGCTAACATCCATGCCCATCTTCCTCTATTTTATGTGGGACACAGCCACAGCATGGCCTGACAAGCGGTGCGTTGGTGCGCGCCCGGGATCTGAACCTGCGAACCCCGGGACATGGAAGCAGAGCACGTGCTCTTAACCACTACGACACTGGGCTGGCCCCAGGAGATTTTTTAAAGATTTTATTTATTCAGTTTTCCCCCCCCAAAGCCCCAGTAGATAGTTGTATGTCATAGGTTCACATCCTTCTAGTTGCTGTACGTGGGACTCGGCCTCGCGTTGGACGGAGAAGTGGTGCCTCGGGGCGCTCCCGGGATCCGAACCCCGGGCCGCCAGCATCAGAGCGCGCACACTTAACCGCTAAGCCACGGAGCCGGCCCAGGAGATTTTTTAAAAGAATAAATCCATATAAAGGGCTTAGCATAGTGCCTGGAATGTGAAAGCACTCCATAAAGGAGCTGTTAGTAAAGCAGTTAGTAGTGCATCGTAAGAAGGAGAGAAGTCTTCATTCTTATGTAATATTTCAGGTGCACATGTTGGAAGAACTGTAAGAAATGCTATAACAACATAGGTGTTTACTGCTTACCCAGCTTAAGAAGTGAAACGTTAGCAATGCAATTGAAAGGCCTGCTATACCCCTGCCTCAAATCCATTCCTCTCCCCTTTCCCTCAAGTGTAACTACAATCCTGTGTTTGGTGTTTAGTTTTCTGTGCGTGTTTGTACATCTTTATGTGCATGTGTCTTTAAAACAATATATAGTATTGTATGTCACATCCTACAATTTTAAATAAATGATATTTGCACAAAAAAAGAGTCACCATAGTAGGCCTGAGACTGCTATCCTTAGAAAGGCCTTGCAAGGTGGGCCCTTGGCTGGCATGTAGGAACCTGGATTTCAGGCAGGTTCCCACCATTTCCTGAATGATACGAGTGGCTCCCGGTGCCTAAACTGTACAGATGATGTGGTTGGTGTTGAGCACCTGCTCTCCTTCTGGAGTCTGGAAGTTTGGTGCTTGACCAGCCCTCAGTAAATACCCTGGGCACTGAGTCTCTGATGAGCTTCCCTGGGAGACACTGTTTCACCAGTGTTGTCTCAGCTCAGCTGTAGAAACCAAGCACGTCCTCTGTTACTCTGCTGGGAGGGCACTCTTGGAGGCCTGTGCCCGGCTTCCCGTGGCTGCTTTCGCTTGTGTCCTTTCACTGTAAGAAATCACAGCTGTGTGTACAACTATCTGCCAAATCCTGTGAGTCCTTCTGGCGAATCGTTGAGGCTGGGGGTGATCTTGGGGACCCCTGACACAGTATCATACCAAATATATCCTGCCAGGGCTGGAACTATGGTAAGGCAGGCAAGGCACCTAAGGCACAAAATTGAAGGAGGCGCTCGCTCTCAGGGCCACACAAGTGCCCAGCCTGCATGACCCTGAGAGTGAGTGCTCCTAAAATTTCCACTCTAGATGCCTTGCTTGCTGCCCTCTAGCCCCGGCCCTACCTCCGAAACCTGCTCTTTGCATCCAGCATACTCCTTTTGAGATGTATCTCTGTTGCCACACGGGGGTAGCTCAGATGCATTTCTGTTCCCTGCTGTATTGCTGTGCTGTCCGATGTGGTAGGATGAGCCACATGTGACTGTTAAGATTCCTCTTAGTCAAAATTTACTAAACTGGACAATTCGATTCCCTGGTCACACTCAGCCGCACTGCACTATTTTATAGGCACCCGTGGCTAGTGGCACTGCATTAGACAGCAGGGATCGAGAACACTTCTGCCACCACAGGAGGTTTGTTGGACAGCATTTACGTATCTGTTCACCTCTTGCTTGACGTTCAGGTTGTTTCCAGTTTTCTCCTCTCAGACAGTGCCGCAGTATTCATCGTGGTATGTGTTGCCTTGTGCACACAGGCAGGAGTTTCCCTGGCGTACACGCCGAGGGCTTGCGTGGCTGGGTTATGGCAGTGTTCACCTTGATTAGATATTGCCAGTTTGCCCTTAAAATGATCATCCCACTTCTCACTCCCACCAGCAGTGTTGCTGTTGCTCAGTGTCCTTGTCAACGTTTCAACTTGTCCGACCTTCACATTTTTGTCTTGTGGTGGGTGTGAGTTAGTGGTTTCGGTTTGTATTATCCTGATTACTAGTGAGGCTGAGCTATTTTCGTTTGTTCATTGACCATTTTGCCTTTCTCCTGTGAATTGTCTGTTCATATCTTTGCCCATTTTCCTGCTGGATTGTCTTCATCTTATCTGGCACAGAAGTTCTCACATCTGAGGCTTGCATTTTCATGTATATGGTGTCTTTTGATGCTCAGAATTTATTATTATTATTATTTGAATGTCGTCAGAATGATCAATCTGCTTATGGTTTGTGTTGTTTGTGCCTTAAG